AAAGTGTGTCCCAGGTATTTCATGAGACATCCTTACAGTTAAAAATTATTTTAACCTGTTGGAAATCCAAACCTAGCCGGACAGCTTGCTTTCTATTTAGGTCTGACGACCCCGCCAATAATCCCCATTCGTTTGCTTGCTCTCACTCCCTCCTTGTCTCCTTTTGCTAATTGTAAAAATACCAGACAGGATTTATGGGAATGAATGTCAGGTCTCCCTTGTTGGAAGTCTCCTGGGAGTCAGTGGGGGTTTCAGTATATATACATTTTCTCGGCAGCGACGCAGCAGATGAGAGGCAAAGCTAGTACTGTTGCAGAAGAGGGCCCTGCCTCGATCCCACCCGCAGGTCCCGTGTGAGATGACAAGCCCCAGGACCCTTGTGCTGTGAACACGTCTTCACCCACCTTCCCCATTAAAATGGCCGCTTGGCAGAACCAGCTAAAGTACTGGACGTGGGCTGCCATCCCTGGGAGTCGTTGAAGCCAGCCTGGTGTTGGAGGCTGCTGGAAAGATGCCACATGGGGAGATGGAGGCTGGGTTCTGGACCATTCCACCGCAGAAACTGAGTTCATTTTGAGAATCGAGGTGTTTTCAGCTCTTCTCTTTTCTCAGGTTCTTTGATGTGATAAGAGTCCCTACCGAAACCTGCCCTAAGTAGACAAGTTATGCTTTGTTTCAAGCCCCCAGCAGCCCCGTTCCCATCTTTGAGTTTTGGGGATCATGACCTCCATCTCAATAAAAGCAGCGGTGAGCGCCCATAGTGAAGGGAGCATCTGTCTGTTCTCTTTAGGCAGCACGAGACCGTGATTCCTGGGGAGCTCCCCCTGGTCCAGGAGCTCACCTCGACGCTGCGAGAATGGGCTGTCATCTGGCGCAAGCTCTATGTGGTGAGTTGGCCCCTGGGGCTTGGAGCCAGCGGCGTTCTTCCTGGGCCCTCAGCCTGTCTGTGCTGCTGCAAGGGGTTGGCCTTTTGTTAGCTCTCTGCATGGAGGGGGTGCATCTCACCTGGACAGGGCGATGGCTGACAACCAGCAGATTCCCATGGTCCTGGAGCAGGGTTCTTGATGATGTGGGCAGTGGAGGAAGTGGGCATAACCATCAGGACAATGTTTTCCTATCTGATATGCTGATCGTGATCCTATAAGGATAATTACAGCTGCAAACACGTCATCCCGACTAAGGGCCTGGAACTATTAACCCTCACAACACTCCTATAAAGTAGGTGTAATTGTTACCAGTTTATCGATAGGGAAATGGGAGGTCGTGGTCTTAGCCTCTCTGTGTATCCCAGTGAATAGACATTTGTTACTGTTTCAGTTCTCAGCCACACGGGGGCTGCCACGAGGGTGGCATTTTCTGCCTTGGTCAGCGGAAACTTAAGCCGTGTTGAACCATGCTCTGAAGAGTCTTCTTTTTGAGGCCAATTCATAGTCTTGTTTCTCCCAACAATGGTTAGACCCCAGAATGCTAATAAGATGTGCCAGGATCAGTGGGAAATTACACAAGAACCAGCACATTCTCTCCCTGATGAACCATAATCACATGTTTTGTGTGTGGGTTTGCAACCAAGACAAGGTAAATCTAGCACTTGGTAATTATCAGACTGAGGACACCTGGGGCAGCCACCTTGCAGGAGGCCAAGAGCACTGAGAGTCTGGTGGCAGCACGCCCGCACCCCTGTCCACTTCAGGAAGCTCCTTGCTCGACTTCGGAGTGCACGGTCACTGGTTTCTAAAGCTCCTTCTTTCCTGGAGGCCTTGCAGATAAGCACCTCTAGGTTTTGCCTTCTGTAAGCGTCTTCCAGGCTTCGGGGACTGCCCAGGACTTCCGCTGAGTGTAACTTCCTTACCCGACGTGTGAATGAGGTCGGTGAGGTAAGGGGCTTAACTCGATGCCTGGGGGCCGGTCTCTTTCTTTATGTGGCTTTGCTCATCTAGGATTTTGTTCAGTCCGTGTTGATTCTGCATTTTAACTGTCAAAAGCCAATCGTAATAAGTAACTGGGAGTACCTCACTCAAGACCCTCCGAACTAGAAACAGGAATCAAAACTCCTTCTAGCATAACTTCTAAGACATAGTGTAAGATGCTTCGTTTCCCAGGGCGGTGTGGTTTCCCAGGATGGGTCACAGCAGTAGATGTCACCAACCCCTTCCATGGAAAAGCACATTGTTTATCTCTGCCTGCCCATCCTTCAAAGCCCCAGTGAAGTCTTCCTTCTTCACAATGTGTCTTCTATACATTACCAGCCCATAATGTTTCCTTCTGGATTATAGGAACACTTAACTGCTGAACCCATCATCTGGTCCCCTGGGCTGTGTCTTGTAATGCAAGTGATCTTTTGATCTCTTTATGTTTAATTGAGGAGAGAGCTAACCTGTAAGTTCTTAAATCACGGTCTGGAGGAGGAGAGAGATGCTGTTTAAAGCTGTTTGGCCTACATCCATCATCCTGTCCTTCTGTTGAAAGCACTCTCTGGTTCCGGTTAATTGATTGGTTAGTGGTAGATGTAACAAGGTTGATGGATGGGTTAGCTCCTTAACACATTGTTTCTGGAAATCGGTAGGTGGTGAAATGTATTAGCTAATAAGTGCTGGGAAATGAGATTTTCATGGTTGTAATATACAAGAGTGGGGAGGGTGAAGGAGCTACCGTTTTTTCTTGCTAAAACACAACTGTGCTTTAGTTCATTATCTGTGTCTATTATGTGTCCACGGGCAATTGTACCAAGTCCCCTGTTGACTGGAAGTGAGAACTGAGTGAGCCAGGGAGGAAGAAATGTGATTCATGTATTTGGGTTCCCAAATCTCAGTAGTTGAACGGTGATAAGCTTTGGTTGAGGGTTTCCTATGTGGAGGTTCCACTCTTTAACAGCAGGATTGGATTTTGCGTTTAAAACAAAATGCACCCTCCTCTTGGAGGGCAGCACATTTCCCATCTTAATTTTGACATCTCATAACATAATAATTTTGTTATTTGCGAGTATTTAGAAATGTCTTACAGCTGCTGTCGGCTGACTCAAAGACCCTCATGGTGGGGATCTGAGTCAGTCGATGGGGCTGAGAGTCTGCTTCTGCTTTTAATGCAGAAATCATCCACTTACAATGGAAACTGTGGCTCTCCCCCGTTCTTCCCTACCCCTTCGCAAAGCGCTGACGGTTCCCTCCAGGCAGAATTTCTGAACTGCTTTCTCAAAAATGTGTCTGTCAAAGTAGCAAGCCTTACATACAAGGCTTCACTGGGGGGAAAGTTAAAAGGAGCCCAGATCTGTAGCTTTCAGTCCCCACCCCCCGCCTTGACTCACAGATGCGCGCGCACACACACTTACTTAGCAGTGTTTGCTTTCTGATTCCGTGTGTGAGTTCCTGCAGACTGTGTAAAGATAAATACAGATTTTACTCGTACACATCAGTACTCACATCTCCCATGCATTTTCTCCCACAGATTATGAAACCAGGCATTCTGCTTGGTGACTTTGAAGGGCCTCTTAGAACCTCCCTGTTTCTCTACCACACCCTTGTTAGTTCTCTTCTTTCCAGTCTGAGTTCGTGAGAGATTTATAGGTTGATCTAAAGTCCTGAGTGAGAGGAAGATGCGGTCCACTAACCAGATAAGCCCAGCCCCACAGATGCCGGTAATTATTCTGGAAAAGAAAGGTACTTGTAGAGCTCTGATTTCTTTTTAGCAGCAGACTGCAACCTTGTGAAACTACCATAAATGTGTCGTAAAGGGGACAGGGGGCGGCTGTGCCGAGGCGAGGGGAGCCCCCCTCTCAGTCCAGAGTAGAAAGAAGAAACGGAGAGACTCCCACATGCTCCTTTTTTTCTCTTTGTTGTGTTAGATATAAAAAAAAAAACTGGGGGGGGAGGGAGGTAATTAGGTTTGTTTATTTATTTTAATGGTGGTGCTGGGGACTGAACCCAGGACCTTGCACATGCTCTACCACTGATCTATACCCTCCCCTCTACATTAGTATTATTTATTGATTTTTCATTTAATGGTCTTTCCCGGCAGATGTTGACGTCCTGCTCTGGGGAAGAAACAAGCTCAGGAGACGGACAGGGGACTCGAACTTAGGAAGCGCAGTCTCACGTCCCGGCCCCGCCCTAGCCGACTCTGGTCTTGGGCAAAGGGCTTGAAATGTCCATACGTCTGCTGGATTTTGCCCCTCTGTAGAAGTGCTGTGAAGTCCGCCTCGTTGACTCCATAGAGTCGTGAGGGTACGAGCAGAGGCGGTGGCCGTGAAGCCACGGTGCAGACAGGCCCCCGCGGGCTCTGCGCACGTGAGCCCGGGAGCCCTGACGCCGCCTTCGCCGCAAGCAGCAGCCGCCCTGGACTGCTTGGCCGTGGCTCAGTGCCCCTCTGACCCGACGCGGAAACTGCAGCTCCATCTGTGTCCACCCCCCCATCCAAGGCCACTTCCTTTGTCATGTGTTGCCATAGCAGGTGGAGTGGCCTTGACTACTCAGTAACCAGGCTGCCTGTTCCACGCCCTGGAGACTAGCCTCCTTAGCTTAGGTTCAAGTCCAGGAGGCGTGGATCATTCCAGAACCACAAGGGGAAGCATGCCAGGGCAGCGTGTAAATTCCTTGCAGTTTCGGATGCGCTTTGCCTGTCCCGCGGCTCCTCAGTTGGAGCCCATCGACTGGGTGTGTTTTGAGGGCTTGACCGGAGATGGAGGGGACCCTGGGAAGGAGGAGGTGGTGGCCGGGTGAGGTGGCTAAATTGG